TTGTTGTTTTTTTCTCATATTGGGATGTACATCCAATTCAAACAGTCGTGAAATTAAAAAAAAATGTAGGGTGGTGCATGATTTCATACATTGGGAAGTGATTGGATCATTGGATAATTGCTAACAAAATGGAAGAATACTGAGCAGTTGAAGAAAGCAGGGCATAAATGAGATACGGCCTGATAGACCCACCCTAAAGGCATTCCATTAGACCAGAAATGAAAGAAAAGTCATTTCGAGGGGGCTGGGAAGAGTAAATTCATTCCTTCATTCATTTTCTTTTCGGCTTAGTCCCTTTATTAATCAGGGGTCACCACAGCGGAAAGAACCGCCAACTAATCCAGCATATGTTTTACGCAGCGGATGCCCATCCAGCTGCAACTCATCACTGGAAAACACCCTCACACTCTTATTTATACAAACAAACTACAGACAGTTATAGCTTACCCAATTCTCCTATACCGCATGTCTTTGGACTGTGGGGGAAACCGGACAGCTGGAGGAAACCCACAAGAACACGGGGAGAACATGTAAACTCCACACAGAAATGCCAACAGAACCAAGCCAAGGCTCAAACCAGCAACCTTCTTGTAATCAACAAATGTGTTTAATTAAAGATTAAGATGACACTTAAAAGGATTACATAGTACAAACATACATAAGCAAATACATATAGATACACACTTATTGGACATACTGCACCATTCCAATTAATATTAAGAATATACTGCTGCAAAACACCATAAGTAAACCATACAGGTCAGAATTGGGGCAAAATGTACTGTGTATTAATATAACTAAACAATTACAACTCCCAATGAGGCCCTGTTTACACCTAGTGTTTATGTGCACTTTGGCTCACAAGACGAAGAAGAGAAATTACTGTATTCACCTGCTGTTTTCATCTGTTTCTGATGGACAAACTTTTTTTTACTGATTTCTTTGATTGGGTGGCAAAATATATGTATGGGCTTTTTCCTATGTTTCAATTTAATATGGCAAAAAAGCTTCAAAAATGTACTTGAACACCGGCAATGTAAAACAATTAGGAAAGAGTATCAACTTTCATTTCTGCACTGAGAGCCAAAAAACTGTGGTAAATTCAGTTTTTTTTTTTTTTCATGGCAAGTTTCATTTCTGGCTTGCACACTTCAACAACACATCCCATAATTTTTGTAGAATTGGACTGTTGGGATGCTTTTGACCACATGAATGTCTGCACTTACAGCAAGCCTTAATCTTGCAGCAAACGTCTACACTTAAAGCAAAATCTCTAAAATTCTCCAAAGCAGAAAAGTAAAGAAATGCTCCAAAAAAAGAGCAAGCCAAAAAAACAACATTTTGCTTTGCCATGTTATCTTAGAGCCAAGATACAAGATAGCTCTTGTAAACATGACTGTATAAACATGCAAAAACACGAACACTCACACACACTTGCCATCTTCCTCCCGGCACATGCATAATTACCACACCTGCTTGCTTGATAAAAGATGCGCATATGGTCCACCACCCATTTCTCTCCCAGCGCTGCTGAACTCAGTTGCCTCCAATGTGTGCCAACTGGTGTGCCTTCCCCCAATGCACCGCTCTGACACTACAGCACACTTCTGAATTTGACACTGAATTCAACGTCTCTTTGCACCGAACCAGAACATATTTTTAGCCCCTGTGCTGCCCTGCCTTGTGTGGCCCTCCAGAGTCTCATTTTCAAGCCTAAAACAGAAACGTTTCATTCATATGTTAAGCATCTTAATTGCACTGATCGTTGTGACTTTTTTTGCTTGTTTAAATACATTTAAAATGTACTTGTTTTATTATGAACAATTGCAAAATAGCAGTTTAGCATTTTAGCTATTTACAAACCTGCGAATGAAAAATATTAAAAAAAAATGAAAACTATTTAAATTAGCATAAATATAATTTTTTTTAATTATTATTATTTATCCAAGTGTGTTCTATTGAGAGACAGTATATCTTATAGCAGGGGGTCCTGTTCAAGACCGGCCGCATAGAACAAAGTTACAAAAAATAAATAAATAAATACATGTCCCAACACATAGACGCACACAAAAACAGTATAAACCATAATCAATTGTTAAAACATGCATGCTGTTCTAAATTGACAGTGTTTAATTAACTATAGCAATAGATGGTATAGATTTCATATGTAGTATATACTGAAGCTCATTCCATACATATGGAGCATACTTAGATAATGCATATCGACCAAACTCTGTGTGAAAAATAGCATCTTAAATAAGGGTATATCTGCTGATCTGGTATTTGAACATTACTCCAACAAATTAGATATATAGTGTACTATGGTAATTTACCAAAAAAGGCTTTAAAAATAAAAACTAAGATATGATTTTCTCCCTCACTGTAATAAGGTCCATTCTATCAATTTCTGTCAATATAAATTATAGTGATGTGTATTATAATGGCTTACCCAAAACAATACAGATTCACAACTTACCTAAGATCATAAGAAATAAAAATAACTCTACCAGCATTTTTGCCAAATAAATAAATAGATAAATAAAAATACTGTACCCTATTACAAAATAGGAGTCGCAGTGTTCCCAAAGTGCTTTCTAATGGTCACATTTTTTTGTACACATAACATATTTTTAAACATTATAGTTTAAATAACTAATTTCTTTAGTGTTTGCCATGATGACAGTACATACTATTTTGCCAGTTATTTTGCATGATACTAGTATTTAGCCTAAAGTGCAATTTAAAGGCTGAACTGAATTGATTGCAAGTTGGAATAAATAGGCAAGTCATTGGACAACTGTGTTTTGTTGTGTAGCCAATAGATAAACAGCTCTAAATTGGGCTAATAATAATGAATTTAAGGGTGACGCAGTGGCGCTGTAGGTAGTGCTTTCGCCTCACAGTGAGAAGGTCGTTGGTTCGAGCCTCGGCTGGGTCAGTTGGCATTTCTATGTGGAGTTTGCATGTTCTTCCTGCGTTCGTGTGGGTTTCCTCCGGGTGCTCTGGTTTCCCCCACAGTCCAAAGACTTGTGTTACAGGTGAATTGGGTAGGCTAAATTGTCAGTAGTGTATGTGTGGATGTTTCCCAGAGATGGGATATGGCTGGAAGGGCATCCTCTGCGTAAAAACGTGCTGGATAAGTTGGCGGTTCTTTCTGCTGTGGCAACCCCAGATTGATAAAAGGACTAAGCCGAAAAGAAAATGAATGAATGAATAAGAATTTAGCAGGGTTTCATTTAATCAAAAAATCTAGAGGTATTCAAACTTCATTGATTCATTCATTTTCTTTTTGACTTAGTCCCTTTATTAATCAGGGGTTGCCACAGCGGAATGCACCACCAACTTATCTAGAATATGTTTTATGCAGCAGATGCCCTTCCAGCCGCAACCCAACACTGGGAAACACCCATACACTCATGCATTCACACACATACACTATGGCCAATTTAGCTTATTCAATTTACCTACAGTATACCTCATATCTTTGGACTGTGGGGTAAACCCACTCCAACACAGAGAGAACATGCAAACTCCACACAGAAATGCCAACTGACCCAGCCGAGGCTCGAATCAGTGACCCTCTTGCTGTGAGGCAATCATGCTACTCACTGCGCCACCATGACACCCAGCACTAAAACTTTTTTAATGCAAATGATTGTTTATTGATATAATATGAAAACTGATCTTTCCACACCCATCTATCTAAATACATATGCATAATTTACATACATACCTACAACCAGTGTTGGGGAATGTTACTTTTGAAAGTAATCCATTACAATATTACACCCCAAAAAAGTAACTAGTTGCATGACTTGGTTATGGTAATTCAAGCAATACATTACTTTTGAGTTGCTTTTGCGTTTATTTTACCTGTCTAAGGCTTGATCTCTTTCAGAACATGCAGGGTTTTTTTTTTTAATAGAGGAGCTCTGCAATCAACAACACTCATGCAACAATGTGTCATGCACATTCATTTACCTTTAAAACAATACACTAAAAAAATAATAATTTAGAGTATTGTTATCTTCTGAGATCTTCCTGGCCCCAAAGTTATACATGCCGTATATACAGGTTATTGAAAGTTTAAAACAGTGTGTTACTTTTGTACTTTTTGTTTATTAATTAAGTAAACTGACTGTCCATGAAGGGAATCACTTTTTTTTTCAATGCATTCAAAATAATGAGAATGCTTCCATGGCAGAAATCTAAGGCTCTGCTATCTTCATTTCTGTCTGTTCCCACAGGGAGGAAATTCTCATTGAGTGTGAGATTAAACGTGACCACATTCAATTTAATTCTGCAAATTATTTTTTAAAAGCCAATTTATTATAATAAAAATTAACTCAAATATTATTACTTTATTTTTTTAAGTAATGTGTTACTTTTCTCGTTACTTAGAAAAGTAATATTGTTATGTGACTTGTGTTTCTTGATATGCGTTACCCCCAAGACTGCACACAACATTCATACATATGGAACTTTGACAATGTAGTCAACATGACTTGGTTGCTCACCTGTACAGTGCTGATGTTGAGGACTTGGGTATGAACATTGAGAAACAAACCAAGAATGAATCTGGTAAATGGCATGGTTGCTTTAGCACTGTTATTGCACATAATTGTTTTTTTAACACTAGCAGCGTGTGTGTTCAGCTCAGTGTAAGGTTTCAAATGCAATAAAGCATTCACCTTTTAGTGCTACTCACTGGCTGTTTGATTTTTTAACGGCAGCAATAAGTCACATTTATTTCTTGTTGAGGAAATTAAACACTTTTTAGTGCCACTAAACAGACATTTCCCTTTATAACTGCAATGTAATATAACAGTTTTGCAAAATGAGACCTGAGGCACATATTTTCATGAGCCTTGCTTGAAACATACATCTGATATGGTATCTGATATATTCTACTATTCCAAAGCAAATTAGCATCAGCAACTTTATACAATCTAAAACTGAATAGACTAACTAATGAACTTCTTTATGCTTTTATCAAACAGGAAAAGGGGATCTGATTGGATCGGATTCGCTAACAAAAGAGCAGGTGATCAAGACTAACGCAAACGTGAAAGCACTGACGTATTGTGACCTGCAGTACATCAGCCTGAAAGGACTGCGAGAAGTGCTGCGCCTCTATCCTGAATACGCCCAGAAATTTGTCAGTGAAATTCAGCATGATCTCACCTATAACCTGCGGGAGGGCAGCGGAGCTGATGTAAGTGATGAATGCACACATGATCATATTCATAGCAAATGCAAACAATCCCAGAGTTACCTTTGATTCCACATATGTGATTGTAAAGCTTAAGGATTGTGTGCACGCTCTTGTTCTCAGCCTGAAATGTGTGTGCAAGGGACTGAAACAGTTAACACAAATGTGCAGGTCGATACATCACCTCAGATTGGAGTATCAATATTCTACGCTTGTACTCTGGAGCTGATATTTGTCCTATAAATAGTGCTTCAGTCCAATAAGCAAACACGATAATACAGCCGTCTACAGGAACATGTGTTATGATTTCCATTTTCTGCTTTACCAATTTAGTTTTTCTAATAAAATATCATAAAGTACATACAGTACATATAAAAATACAAGCATGTTGTATAAAATAAGAGTAAAGAAGATAAATTAACGGTTTACTAAAAGGAAAATATTTACCCACGTTAGTCAAAATCAAGCTTTCTTTCTTTAATGGAATATAATAGAAGATCATTCTGTCTGTCGTATGTTTAATGGAAGCCAGCAGTACCCAAATTACTAATATTCATCAAAATCGTCTTCTGCTGAAAAAAAGAAAGTCGTTTCAGTTTGGAATGACATGAGGGTTAGTAAAAAGATGACAGAAATTTCATTTTTGGGTGATCTATTTCTTTAATTTTGATGCTGTTGCTCAGATTAACTGGTCTAGCAGAACTTTCATGAGAAGTATTTAAATATTTGACCTTCAGTTGTAGAATTTGATGTAGAGTCATTATCTTTTATAGATCTCTAGAGGAAATATTAATAGCGTTATTTATCTCAAGTTGAAAAAAAAATAGCTTAAACTACCTTGAAGTGAATATCGTAATTTTCATTTTTAAGAGTTTGTATGAAGTGCTTTTCTCAGTTGTGATTTTTCTATACTCAGAGAATGGTGTTAAAGTATTTTCAGGGCATACCCTGTATAATATTCTAGTTTATGTTAGTCATATGCGATTAAATGTTTTTAATATTGGTTGAGTGCATCTATTTATGTTCTAAGATTATGCTTATAGAATTCAACACAGTCTCAAGCACATCTCTCATTATGAATTATTATACAGTTTGCTTTTTTGATCCTCGTGGTTAGATTGTTTGCTCAGCACAAGCCAATGACAAGTTAATTCCTTAGTTTTTACGTGGAGTTCAATTTCATATTCATGTTTGCCTATTAAAGAACCAGGTTTCTGAACAAACACTCAAAAGCCAGATGTGGAAAACTCCCTCAAGGCCTGTTTATATCAGTGTAATATAAGAAAATGGAGCTTTAATGGAATAGCGCTTTTAGAGGGATTTATCTGAGGTGTTGTTTACTTTAGTGTGTTTTCATTTCCAAACAGCATTTTAGAATGAATACGCTCCTGGTGCAGACTGGTGTTTTTATTGCGTTTTAAATGAGTAGTCTCCATCCGCACTATACAGCCTGGAAAAGATGCTTGATATGTGACCATTCAAGCTCAATGAATAAGGGTCTTATGAGAGGTGCTTGATGTTCTTTAGGGAATGAAACACAATGAGTATGTTTACATGGACCCCAATGCAAATAATTCGATTACTGATGTCCATGTAAACATAGTCAATGGTCCAGAATAAAAGTTAGCATTTTAGTCCATATGGTCCAATGGTGTTTGCAAACTAAAACAGGGTCTTTAGCATTTTTAAAATGCTCAGTTTTCGTAGGTGGAAGATGGCAGAGTGGCATGGACACCTGGTGTAACTATAACAATATGTATGCATTTTAAAACAAAAACACATTAGTGTAAATGGCACCTAAATAAGTGAGAACACATCTAACAAGTTTTGATTTGGTTTAGCTCAAATATAAATGCAAAATGGCTCGAAGGACAGCCTGGAAAACTGCAAGTGGCAGGGATTTATGCCGCAAGCAGGATGGGAGACTTTAAGTGGGTGGGACTTCAATTCATCATTTATTTTTTTTGCTTGTTCAAATTACTTATTTAAATGAGCTGAAACAACACAATTCTCAAGATTTCATCGGGACAACTTATTTTTTTATGTTCAATCCACGTAAATTAGTTAAAAGTTTTAAGTCAACTTAATCGATTTGTGTTGGGACAACATGAATGAATTGGGTGGAACCCGGCACACCAATTTATCAACATTTTTTGTGTCAGTATAATAATAAATACAGATTTTTTTTTCAATTCTGAAAGAGAAATGTATAGAGGTTAATAAAACACAATAGCTTAGACTTTGTGTTTTGTACAAAACATAAAACAATTAACCAAAAGCCTTAGAATATTCCTACTTGGAGCTCATGTGTCACCCATTTATAGCCAGTGGTGTAAAGTAACAAATTACAAATACTCAAATTACTGTAAATGATTATTTTTTTCGCAGGAATTGTACTTTACTAAATAGTTAAAAAATTGTGTACTTTTACTTTCCCTTGATTACATTTTTTGTGCAGTATCTGTACTTTTACTCCACTATTTTCCTTCAAGCTGTAGTCACTACTTTATTTTTTCTTGTCTCCAGGGATTGGCTGAGTAGAAAAATCAGTCTTGTGATTCCTGTCAAATCAAATTGCTTATTGAAGTAAATTACATAATACTAAACAACCTCAAGACATGGGCGCTTTACAAATGCAGCAAGCAAGAAAAGTGTCCAAGATATCTAAAATCTACTCATGCTGACCTGCTCTACTCTACTTTATAGCTGACCTGCTTATTTTGAGCTAGCTTCGACCTCTGTTTTTTTACTCAACTCGTCTGCTGCTTTTTAGACATCGATCAAAACAGACAAATCACATGCGAAAATCAGATTTGAATTAGTTTTGGTGTGAGCACACCTTAAATATTTTTTACCAAATTATAAAAAAAAACTGTTGTCCACTGTGAACTTGTGCATATCATGTGCAGAGTTACTCAATGAATTCATGAGCAGCCTGTGACCTATAGACTGGAGGTATGCGTATGTAACGGTGCATTGCCCACATCCACAACCAGCCGAATACAAAATGGATCCCCATCTGCTGTCTTTGGCATCTTTCCTTCCTTCTCTCGCACAGCCTCAAAGTCCGTGTCCTTTCCCTGACTTGGATGCTGCCACTACCCCCTCATGTTCAGGATGCACATGTATTGCCTCTGCACGAGTCCCTCTCACACACACGTTCTCTCAGCCTTGAGTGTAACTTGCAAGGACAGGAATAGCAGCAGGCTGCGGTTTGGAGTGTGTGCCGATACTAAGAATAGCACAGAGGGAAGGCGGGGACTCCTCGCTGGCTGGGTCCCCCGCGCCTCGAGCTAAGATTGGATCCTGTTAGATAAAAATAGCACTGAAGCGAGAGGCATGGAGGTGGGGTGGGGGAGAGATCCCTCTTTTCTCTCCTTTCACTTTATCCTGCAGTGCTGCTTCTGCAAGATGTTTAATGCAGATTCCACCCAATTTATCCCTCTGTTTGTGGAGAAAAAAGGAGAGAGAGGGAATTGATTACAGTCGGTTGGTGCTGTTGCAAGCATATAAAATATAATGTAAGTACTTTATACCTCAAATTCTCCAAAATAGGTGTTCAATCGCATGTAGAGTTTTCACACTGGGACTTGTTTAACATATAAACACCACCATGACAGCTGCATCGCAACGTGCTAAAAGCTGCTCCAAATGCCTTAGCAACCGCATAGAAATGCCCTGGCAACCAGCAACAATAGCATCTTGGCAGTGACTTTCAAAAATGTAAGCATTCAGTTTCAGAACGTGTAAAAATCAAGTTTGTTTGTGCCACGAGACATAACGGATAGGCATTGATGCTCACTTCACGTGTGTGCAACCCCAGAACGCACACAGAATACCAATGAACACACACTCACACACACACACATTTGCACATAATTGCAGAGCTGGTGAGGATTGAAGTGTGATTATTGGGGAAACATCCTTGTTAGTATGTGTGAGTGTGTGTGTATGTGTGTGTGTTTGTGCATTATTGCTCTGGAGGGAAAAGGTAATGCATTCTTTCCTCTCTTTCTTGTTATATTTAGTCATGATTGACTGAACTTGGCGACTCGGGGGACATGGAAATGCCCGAATAAACACCTCCTTTTTCTTCTTTCTCTGGTAGAAGGGGAGGGAAAGAAAGTGAAAACTTCTGTAGAAACACCAATTTAAGCATCTTGCACACATGCACACGATCCCCTCTGGGGTTTGTGTTACTAAGATTGGAAGGAGATGGCTAAAAATAAATCGTCTGCAGTCCCACACCCCACCTAAAGCACAGAGTGTGGGGGTGGAGATCATGAAAGAGAGAGAGAGAAGCAGGGTGCGGAGAACAGGAGGGGGTTGCGGATAAAGATGGAGAGATTTCAGTCAAAGTGAATGGGGGAGAACAAATGGAGGCATGGGAAGAAAGGGACTGCGGGTAGATGCGTGAAAATTTAAATTAGGATTTGTTTTGTTTTTCAATTTCTTCCTATCCTGGTTTTGTGATGATGGAGATAGCAATATATGGCTGAGGAGGACTGCGTCTGAGTTGCCACCCTATAGCGACGGACGGTGATTGACACAGTGTTTTATATGTTTTGACAAAACAAAAATAAACAGTGCCGCCTCTCCTCTCTGCAACCTCTTCTGCGGTGCTGCAAGATAACGCCGCTTGCAGCCTTCCTTTTTATGACATTTTACAAACATGCAATTCTGACAGAGCTTAACAACGAAGGAATTGAAGTCAATTTCAACTTGTGTAAAGACGTGTGTGTTTCTGAGTATAACCAATTGAAGTTCCTTAATGTAGTACAATGGGAAAATATCCTGAGAGTTGAGCGGGAGGTGGAAAACAGAGAAAAGAGGAACAAGAAAAATCAACAGGCTGTGTTAGTCTGCCACGCACTGGCCATGACTCTTTACTACCCATATCAAAATCTATATACTGTACATTTGATTTGTACATTTGTGTTGTTTGTACATACTGTACATTTGGTCAGAATGATTAGCCCCCCTGTTTATTTTTCCCCCAATTTCTGTTTAACGGAGAGCAGATTTTTTTCCCCAAAACATTTCTAAACATAATAGTTTTAATAACTCATTTCTAATAACTGATTTATTTTATCTTTGCCATGATGACAGTAAATAATATTTTACTAGATGTTTTTCAAGACACTTCTATACAGTTTAAAGTGACATTTAAAGGCTTAACTAGGTTAATTAGGTTAACTAGGCAGGTTAGGGTGATTAGACAAGTTATTGTTGAACAGTGGTTTGTTCTGTAGACTATCTGAAACAAATAATTTTGTGCTTAAAATGTTTTTAAAAAAATTAAAAACTGCATTTAATCAAGCCGAAATAAAACAAATAATTTTCTCCAGAAAAAAAAGAAAATTATCAAACACACTGTGCAAATTTTCTTGCTCTGTT